GATCTGTGCCAGAGCTGCCTCCTTCTTCTCCACTGCTTTCTAATGACTTCGAAGAGAAGTGCAAATAAACAAAAGCATTTTCTGTGTTAGCACAGTCTCCCAGTTGCATGCTTACTAGCATGCAAATAAATTTTGAAACTGCATTGTGTTTTGAGTCTAGGATAATATCAGAAGACAATTAGACATTGCAGCCCGGGTCCTCACCTGATACGTACGGATATAATCCACATTTAAATTATATGAAAATCAAATTACCTTTCTCTTTTAAGAAATTAGCAGATTTGGGGTGTATAGAAAAGTCAGCAGAAAATTAATATTTATGCTAGCATAGGGACATGATTTTATAAATTGACTGAATCTTGCGGATGTCAGCCTTAAAAAAAGTTTTGCAGTAATTTAGTAATAGCAATTTGGTAATGGTTAGTGACACATTACTACCAAACTGTCTTAATTTTTAAAAATGCTTCTTTTCGATGTAGACTAATCTTCAAAATCTTTTCAGCTGTATTTTAAAGCATTATGTGAAAAAGTAAATATAAGCAAATGTTAAGGTAAGTGACATAACAGACAGTTTTACAAACCGATTGGCATTCTAGCAACCTTGTAGAATGGAGATGGCTGTTGTGTGATGATTGGTGTTTGCTTTTTATCTAATCTTATGATTTCTTTGTGTATAGTCTGCCGTACTGTATTAAATGTTTTTGAAGTCTTAGTGCCTCTCGCCTAAATTTCATCTTTACCCTTAGCTATCCTAGCCTGCTTTGTGATCCCAGAGCTCTTGGTCTTCTAGTTGGATCAGCATTAATATGACTTTAAGCAATGCTGAATGTATTTTCTTCTCCCTTATGTGATGGATACTAAATTACAAAGTGCCTTTTTGATGTTAAAAGAGGTTCTTGTGCATAAGCTAACACGAGTTCTTTTGAGGAAAGTGTTGGGTTTTGAGTTTGGACTGAGTTGGGAGGGATTGAAAACTAGTAACTCCTTAAAACAAATATGGTTATTTTATTTATGGGCTGTTTATTAAGCTTTTTATCTTATAAACTCAGATTATAAGGTATCAGTTTACCTGTGAGATATGAGAGATGATCTGTACGTGCATGCATGTGAGAGATGAATGAAAAGTAGAAAAGACTTACCTTTTGTTACTTGCCATAAATAATACATTTTCATATCTCTCTATGACTTAACATGTGTTTGTAAAGTGAGAATCCTTAAAAGAGTAGAACCGGTTTTATAACCTGGTCAGAAATAAGAGATTGCGACCAAATCACTTTTCAGGACCTGGGAGGGATACAGAAACCCTTGGTGAGTCAGTTTGTGGAGACACGCTCCCATGCAGAGTGCGTTCGGTATAAGTCATGAGGAGTCCCTCGAAATTGTTGCAATGAATAGAACTCTCCCTAATGCAATTATTGCAGGATCCTTCCTCTTCTAGGGAGGTAAGTCCATATCTAATCCATTCCAGTAGGAAATTTCTTATTCCTTGAATATATGAAAAATTAACTATAGTGACTTATTGGACACTACTTCCTTTCTATAAGTGTATCAAAGCTATTTTGGTATTTTTATAACTTCCAGAAATAACCCAAGAGGAAAGTTCCTGGAGATTCCTAATTCCATTTCTTTAAAATGAGGTGAAAGGGGTAGGTTTCCAAATAATTTGGAGAAAAACATGAACTAGGAAAACAAAACACAAGATTTAAATAATATGTTCCTTGGTTTTTTTAAGTTGATCTCAGTTGCTGTTCTTATATAAAACTGTGTCTGTCAGGGGCTGCAGCTGTCTCTATTTGTAGAAATGCTGTAGTGTTCAGGCTACAGCAAAGAATATGAGGCTTGCAAAGAGTATTACAGTTTCTTTTAAATGACTCTTCAATGCTTTCAAACATAGCCTCATGAGAAGAGATATACTCTGCATTTAGCAAATGCAAATTCAAAACATTAAGCAGATCCACAATGAAGGGCCTTTCAGATCAGACCATTATTTATATAAGCTACCTCCTAAGTTAGAAGCAGAAGGATTGCCATATCGTGACAACTGGAAGCTGCTTTCCAGCATTGCCTCATATTTCTCATGACACCTCTTTCTCTCAAAGTCTATTTCACTGGATAAAGATGTATGGCTAGGGTTTTACAGACATGGATCCTATTTTCCAGCCCTGTTGGACTTTTTGTGTAGGAAGCCTGTAGACTACAAAGTCAATGAAGAGAAAAAGACCTGACCCTAATAGCTATATTATTTCGTGATTTTATTTCTTGGCCCCTAAAACCTCCCTTAGATGGATATGAATAAGGGGAAGCCAAAATGAATCTGAAAAAAAAACCCTACATCTTTGTGTTCATTCTAAATAGACTGATGCCATTCTGTACCTGCTGCAAGATTAATACTCTCAGAACTTTGTTTCCAGATGGAATAGCTTGTAATTTCCATAATATTTTGACTTCCAGAGAAAGGTGATTCTAAACAGTGTAGAAGCATCTAGCACCACAGCAACCAACAACAATTAAGAGAACTTTTCTTGGTTTTCTTTATCTGAATTGTCTGTGGTCTGGTTTTGCTGTGGTTTTTCTTTTCTTTCTTTCTTCCCTTCCTCCCTTCTATTGAATAAATGAAAAATATCAGATATGAGATTCTTCCTCCAGGCTCACTCTAACTCTAAGCAATGTCAGAGAAAGAACTTCAATTATATTTGCCAAAAATTGGATTAGGTCCATTGTTTATTCTTTTACAAGGTAGGCATTTTCCTGTGGGAATAAGCAATCTCTTACCACTAAATTGGCCAGCTTTCCTAAATTACAGTCCCCTTGTTTCACTGAAACATTATTGCCATACTACCATGAGCAACTGTTACACGATGACAGAGTAGCATGGTGCAAAAAGGCAGAAAGAATGCAGTGCTATTGCATCATGTAGAGTCCAAGTAAAACCAGTGGGTGTCAATGGTAAAACAGGTCCTGGTCTGTCAGCGAGATAGTGGTCACTATATGATTACAGAATATTTCTTATTTCTCTTCAGTCTATGTGGAGTTGAAATAAATCAGTTTTCATTGTAAACAAAGTTGGATATGTTAGCGTTACATGTTCATTTGTCATTCTAAAAATGAGAGCAGCATCTATTCTGGACTTTCTGTTTTTCCTTTTCTTTTTAGTGCTGTTGACTGGAATGTTGTCACCTGAATTAGCAGAACACAGTGGTGTACTCAGAGACTCCTGAGAAGGAAGTTTCCTTGTTTTCGTTGATGTTAACTGGTCAGTGTTCCATATTGACCATTATCTTGTGCTACACTTAATTTAAAAGCACTCTTCATATGTGGAAAGAGTTGGTCAGTTGGCCAGTGATTATTTTTTAGTATGTTTAAAGGCATAAGAGTAAGCTAATGATGCTGTCACCATTCACCATTTTATTTGCAGGGTTGCTTTTTGTATGCATTCTAAACACAGAAGTGTCTTTCTGGTATCAGAATATTTTATTTGTCACTGGCATTGTATTGCAGTATAAGGGAGTGCTAGTGTACGCCAGGATGATGGTTTATTAGTTTTGTGTGTTGACATCTCATGCCTGATACTCAAAAGAAAATGCTCACTTCTTACTTTCATCAGTATGCCTTTTATGGAGTTACAGCAGGAGGTAATGGCATCCCCATGCAGTTTTACAGGAGACATATCTGAAACAAAACCAAGTACCAGTCCCAATTCGAAATGGACAGGCAGACATCGGTTCTGTAAAGGCCATCTCTATAGATAATCTTCAGTGTTACTCCTCTAGGACTAAAGTCTGAGACTGATTTATCCTGATATTCCTAAAGGCAACACCTTCGAATAAGTGATTATGCTGTTTGAATGCTCTGATGGTTTGCACTACAGCTACCATTTTGTGCCTGTGGTGTGGATGAGATTGTAAGATACTTCAGATCGTTCCTTGACATTTAGACACATGTCCTCTGCTGAAATTAATTGATTGAACAAGTGTCTTTAGTGATGGAAACCTCTGTATTCTGTATTTCACAGCCTTTTTTCATGAACCTAATCTTTTCTTTAAATAGTCCCTTGACCGTCTTGTGCAATATTGGCTCTCATAGTTTTCTTTTACAAACAAATACAAATTAGGCTACATTTTGTAGGATGTTTTTTAACTTTCTTTTCTTCTTGTTTACTGGTTTACTTGATGACACGTAGGCAGAGGCAGATAGGTATTTTGCTGTTGATTTTTAGATAACCTGTAGTCCCACAGTGTGTTCAGTGGTCAACAGGATGAGAAATTCTACACTAGGTTCTTTTAACTTGGTCTAGATATCTCTCAGCCTAGTATTAGTCATCCTATTAATTTAAAATAAAACAATAATGATGATGTTAATACAACAATGCTACATTAATTTTTAAACTGCAGAGCATGCTTAAATTATTATCCAATGTATGTAGGTCATATACTGTTTTTCTCTTGCACTGGATTAAATAGAAATTAAATGGAAATCATCTCTCTTCTTGGCATTTTTAGACTGAATATTAACTTGGGTAAAAATAATCAGAATGTTATTTTGAAAAAAGCATATGATAATTCAGTATCTTTTCCTTCAGGCTATGGAAGAGTGTCTATAATATGATTCCTAGAGAATATGGCATGTGGTGACCTTGGTAAGTAATTGTTGACACCTCACGTAAGCACCTACTCTTCCTCTATATGATGTTGTTGGAGCATCATATTTGCAAAAAATGCCAAAGCTAGCAAGAGCCACAAGAATTAATAAATTCCATTGTGATAACAAAGGAAGAATAAAAACATAGCATGCAAAATTTGTCATCTTGAAGTGAGGAGAAGATCCTGAAAAAAGATTCTTCACAGTGAGCATTTTCCATCTTGAAACTATTTAAAAAACTTTTTAATTTCAGTTAAATTGCTAAGTAAATACGGGGAAGTAAAGTTTTACCCACAAAAACTAAACTTACTGTTTTGTTCAGAGAAACATTATGCAGCCGTGCAAGACTACAGGCTTCTATTCCAATGTTATTTCTTTATATCACAGAAGACATTTTGTTTCCAGTTTTTATGTAACAGTAAAACTGACTTATGACAGTGACTTTATTTCATTGGTTATACTCACAAATATTAAAGATGAATAGAAAGGAAATTAATTGAATTTTAAAAAGGTAGCAACCTGCTATTTAAATATTAATCTTCCTCTTTTTTTTCTTTTTTTTTTTTTCTGCTTCCCATGCTGCCTTCCCAAGCTCTGTGCAAAGGTCTTGTTTCTTCCAGTGAGACTCTAACCATAGCCTAATAGATGGCATTAGTTAAGCAGCTGAGATTTAATATGTGCATCAAAGAAAACAAAAAATTAAAGCTAGGAAATTCCTAGGAAGCAAAAGTCAATATAATTTTATGATAAACTTATCCAATGACTTGATGATAATTCCTATCAAAAAGCATCTTAATGACTAGATGCTTCCAATGTATTTGCATAACTTCATGTTTTCTCCCATATCTTTTCAAAAATTATAACCAGTTTTCCATTAAGTTTATATGATTAACCATGAGATGAAGTGAGCTACAAAAATCACAAAACATTCTTTATGTTATATACAGCTTGGATCACTTTTCCTATTGCTGAGCCAGTGTCCATTCCTCCTGATGCAGCTGTCTACCAAAGCCTTTTCCCACCATGTCACACCTAAGTTTTGTGAAGAAGGCTGTATGCAAAGGGAGATATACATTTGTTTCCTACTCAGGTTAGACTTCTGAATTTATGAAATATTTATAGTTTATAAATTTAACCTTACACATTAAAAAAAATTTTAAAGTCATAATCACTGCCTTGAAGGTAAGGATTTAATGAAAAAAGGGACTAGTCAGAAAAGAAATGTAATAGGTTTTATAGCATCCAACTCACATCTATTTTCTCTTCCGGTATTTTAAACTCTAATTTGTGATTTGGTTAATATCTTATTCCTTGGAAATTAGTGTCATCAGCAAAAGAGTAATTTCTTTTTTTTTAAATCTTGCTGTATGTTTATCTTTTATCAAAAGACCATGAATAAGTATTAGAGAGAATAACCTTTTCACTAATCTATAGCAATAATATTTATATTGCTTCTACACTACTGGTAAGTAACTACTCCACAGCTCACTTTTGCTGCGAGTTGTTTGGTAAACTGTATGATATGTTAATATTTATGTGTTGTTTGGAATAGCTAATCCACATTGTTTAGTGAGTTGGAAAAGAGTATTTTACCCTTATGCCAAGTGAATTGTAACTAGGGTTCTGCACATTCCCACTTGAGTATTTAGCTAGGATGATTATAGAAAGTGTTTGAAAAAAGAATGATAGCCGCAGCCAAAATGAATATTTTATAAAACATATTCTTCATAACCAGGAAACTATACTCATTCCATAGTGTGACAGTTTGGTGGGGTTTTTTTTACATCTGCTCAAGAAGATATTTGACCCTTTATATAATTTAACTCTTATAGGTTCTGGTGGACATAGTGGAATCTGTTACCCACTTAATGTTTTTAGATTGTTTGGGTTTGCTTCTGCTTTTTTTGCTGGAGGAAATAGAATTATTTTCCTGGCATGCAATTTGGCTTTTAATACCTCATTTTAATGGGAGATGCTGTAGGTAAAATCATTAAATTCTCCAGATACTAGTTTTTGGAAGAGGCAAAAATAATGGGTTAGGCAAAAAGAATGTCAACAACATATAGAGCAGTTTTCATAGGTTTCTGCATCCTTTATTCTCATGATATATTCATTGCTTCTTATCCTCTTAAGTAAAAATTTCAGTGGGCAATGGGAAAAAATAGGAGACAGTGACAATCCCTTTTGTAAATTTAAGAGAGTAAATCTCGTATTTCATTGTAGTCTTCTTGTAAGAAGAAATGGGAGCCATTTTTCTTGTGGAATTCAAACCCAGAAGTTTCTACTATATTGCAGCTAAAGATTTCTCTGTGTGCAGCAGTAGCAAAAGCAACACATCTCTATTTGATGTAGCATGATGAAATACGCTGTGAATATTGACATTTATCTATCCATAGTGAATGCTGTCTGATCTGGATTTGTATAAGATGCACAGGGTAGTTGGTTAATAAGCCTACGAAAACATTTATATTACATTTAGCAGTGATAGAGAGTTGTGCGTGGCTATTAGCATTTACTAATTTTACAATGAAAAAGAGCATCTTTAGGAAATTGAAGAAGCACTTTTCTCTGTAGAATGAAGAGTGTTAAACACACTTCACCTAAGAATGTCTTTTGAAGCAACCAGTAAAATGGAAATTTAAAGGCAATTGATGTTTATGTCAGTGAAATTTTGAACCTCTGCTGCAATAAAATTGTCCTGTAACCAAAAAGGAAGAGGGAGATGTCAGTCATATAATTTAATCAGATTATGATAAAATTCAATTTCTGCCTCTTTCAGATTTTCTCTAAAGCTGTTGATGGTGCCTAAAAGTAATCAAGGGACAGAAAATCACATAGTAGTGCAGACAGCTTCCTCTGTACCATCGAGACTACACATATTTGCAATATTGGGGTGCAGGGATGCTTCAATAGCCACAGAAGTTTTATTTAATTTTAACATTGTTTTATTAGAAAATGTGTATTTTAAGAGGTTTTATTTTACTGATAAAGTTTATATACTGGAATTTGTTTTACGTTATCCATTGACTATCACAGTTGTCACTGGACTATTCAAATCAGGTGTAGTTGTACTTAGAAACTGAGGCAAGATCTGTAAAAAGAAGTAGTATTTTTTATTAAACCAACTGATGCAGTTCATTTCCAATTAACATGCTCAGAAAGTATAGCTAGGTGTACAGTCTTCATGACTTGAGGAAGGGTTAATGTGTCCAAAAGTGCCCGCTTTTTTCACCTGTTGGTTTAATTAAAAAAAACTATCTATAGACTTTGTCTTCTCTTTGTGCCAAAGTGCCTTCATTTCATATGTCATATTTAGGATCTCCATGTATAATTTGTTAGCAGGAGATGCATCATAAAATTTTCAGGTTGCTTCAACTATGAGTTGTATTTGGGTCAGATAGGATTTTTTTGTGTGTCACAAGGAAAATAATTTCTTTCTGTAAAGTTTGAAATTCTGCAGTGGTCAAAAAAAAAGCAAGAGCACTGAACTTGGATTTTTATTTCAGTTCCCAGAAATAAATAACCTCAGAAATAAATAACCTCAGTTTCACTTCAGTAAGTTCTACAAAAGTAATTCTTTGTTTGAGACTCAACTCATTGCTTACAAAGAACTATTTAATTGCTGTCTTGATAATGCTGTGTACCAGCACTGTACCTTGCCCTGCTGGTTGGTGAATCATAGATTGGGCTGGCAAGCTGAATTTAGTAGGTGGGGCTCCCGAACAGACACTTAAGGGTGGCAGTATGCTGTAAGTACAGGAAATTCAGGAAAAGGCTGTAGGGCAGTCCTGCTCAGGAGTGCATTTACCTGGCGTCCCTGCTCAGTGTATGAGGCTCAACAGTTCTGCCTGGCATTTCAGGCAGATATATGTTCTTCTGTGTTGCTCATGGTGGTTGTTATCAGTCAATGATCTGAACTGCTAGAATTGATGCAGCTGTTGTCAGAGCTTGCTTATGGGTTTTGGTAGTTCAAGTCTGGAATTGTAGTAGAGCATCTGTGTCTTGTCCACATCCATACCCCATGCCATCCATGTCAGCAGGTGTTCAGATGAAGGTGAGATAAAGATGCAAGGGGGTAGGGTGATGTTGTTTTTAATTAACTGGACTTTTGATAAGTAGGCTAATATTATAGCACAAACATGTGAGGGAGATAAAGGCCTCGCTGTGTCTGTTTCAGCCAAAATATTCTTACAGGCCCACCACACATTTCATGCACAAGAGGAGCCCAGTTTTCTGCTCTTAGAGCAGTCAGAAGCACTTTTTCCATCAGGCAATACTTGTCAGAGGGTATTAGTGCTTGAGTATAGTTGTTTAGTTATGAAATAGATCTGGCCTTTTGCTTCTTGGCTCTTAACTTACACTTCCAGAACTTTGCTTTGCATCAGCACTAATCTTGGTTCATTTATTTGAGCTTTGCATGTTGAATGAGAATTTGGACACAAACAGTCGGTTCATGTCCATGAGATACTTTTTTTTTTCCATTATTCTGCTGTAGAAAATCTGGTTTACTTCTTCAATAGAATTGCTTGTTCTTTTTCCCTTTTAAAAACTGAAGAGGAAAAATAAGCAGCATCATAAGAATGGATAGCTGGAGCCAGTGGTCACAAACTTGTGTCTTGAGAGGTTCAGATAGGACATTAGGAAAATACTCTTCACTGTGATGCTAGTGCAGCACCAGAAGAGGTTACTGAGAGAGGTGGTGGAATCTGCCCTCTTGAAGAATTTCTAAATTCAGCTAGCAAAAAAGCCACAGTAAAAAAGCTGACCAGGTATAGTGGTGCTTATAGTCCTTCTCAGAGAAGAGAGTTGAACTAAATGATCTCCGTAGGGTCCTTCAGGTGCACACTTGTATGATTCGACCAATATAAACATTAGGGGGTATGTAACTGTAAGGTTTTACCTAGTAAACGATAAATTAAGTAATATCAAAATAGGTTGACACAAATCGTGCAGAGGCTTAGAGACAGTGTTAATTCAGGCCTAAGAGCAGGTTAATTCACCAATAAACGGCAAGTGCTATGCTCTTATGAAGAATAAAATTCTGATAACATAGTCCTCTTGGATTGTTCTTTTCCTGTTGATTTCACAGCTGTTAATGAAGTATATTACTTACCTGATAGAGATGGACTCTTTAGCCCCTTTATTCTACTCTAAATTTTATGACAAGCTTGTTTCCTTTACCTTATATAACTGATTTTTAGGCTCTTTTTTTTTTTTCACTGTTTCCTTTTTTTATCTATGGACATAGAAGAGTGACCTCACAGTTATAAAGATGAAGATCGTTAATTCTGAAACTCTTCAAGTTGTTCTGGCTGATGTAGCAGTAAACTTGTTTGTGTTGTCTCCTTTATCTGCTTGAAGTGTGTGTAATTCTCTTGACCAAAAAATTCAATCTCTAAATAAAATCTAATTAGGAAAGAAAATTAAAAGCATTCCAAGATCTGTTTCATATCCTACAATCATAAATACAAGTTCACTGAGATTGTTTTGCATATCTTTGAGGATAAAATATGTTTGGAAGATACTCAAATTTTGTGAAGATCTTTAAAAATTAAGTTATAGTTCTTTTGATTTAAATTTAATTCAGTATTAAAACTGTCAAGTGGTTGCAACACTAATTAGATTCATATGGCATGAGATACCTAGACAGACTTGTTGCATCTATACTTGTTGATTTTTCCACTAGATGGCATTATGCATTAACTGCGAGTTAATTTATGAGCTTAACTATAATTGCACATGCTAAACATTTAAAAAATAAGAAATCATCTACTGTGCTTGCTCTTACTCTATGCAAGAGTGAAAGATCTGTGGCTTTATCATAAAATCACTTGACCTACTTCTACCTAACAGTAACCCAATCCATCCTTAATGCATCAAATATGGATTTACTCAAAGCAATAAAGGAAGTCAGCCATGGCAACAATATCTGATATTGTCTGCAATGTGTCTTTTAGAATAAAACTCTTACAACATTTTCTACATTTAACATTTAAAGAATGACTTCAGTGCTGCAAATTGCTTCCTTTCTGGCTATATGGTTTCAACTGAAGTGATAGAAAATGTCCTAAGTAAAGCTGCAGTGCTGAAGATGGCTTTAAAATGCAGAGCACCATATGAGTAATTTTTTATTTGGTGGCTAATTCAGGATAGATTATCAGAATAATTTATCACTCCAAGTTTAAGTATAGATATGCTGTTGTTTCTTCCACCCAGAAGAAATGAACTATTAGCAATCCCTTACAAAATTATATGGTACTCAAGAGTGAAGTTTCTAGAATTTTAATTCCTGACCAGTGAAGCACCATCTGATCTGAAGCAAAGGTCTAATACCTTCAAAAGAACTGATCAGTAGGATTTTTGCTTTAATCCCAAGATTTGTGGTGACTAAAGAAATAAGCAGTCCCAGCAGCAAGAAAGCAATGGCAATGATTTGGCATGTGAGAAGGAAAGAAGCAACACTAGTGATCTGGGGAGTAAAGAGGAAGAAAATGAAACAGGTGCAGATATCAAAACCAGAGGTGGAGCAAAAGAGGAACCATGGAGGGAGAGTAATGTAGTGACAGGAAGACACAGATTTTTCATACCAAGCTTGATATTTTTTATATGAGTGCCGTTGTGTGTAGGTACGTAGATATTAATTTAAAATCTGTATTCTGGGGGAAAAGACAAGAGATGGTCCTTTGTTTAAAACTTGTCTTCCAGAACTAGAGATAGTATTCACAAAAGAGGGCTCATCAAATTTCTGATCAGATACATGTTATCTAGGATATACTTCCCAGCATTCCATATTGTGAGCTGCCTTTTTTCTTGATTCTTTCTGTACAGTGTAAGAGGCTCCAGGCTGGAAAGGGGTAATCTAATATAATAACTGTGAGAAAAGGTGTAGAATACAAGCTGGATGAACCAGTTCCATTAGCATGGGCAAGTGATGGAAAAGCATCCAAGGCCAAGAAAACATGTAAATATTAGCTGAGTGTTGAACAGATCTTTTAAATTCTCATGGTGGTCAAACACATACTAGAAAAATAGTTAAACTTTCGCTTAAGGTTGTCTCTGAATCAGACTTTTGTGAAGAGGACATACCAATGCCACTTGTAAAAGCTTATCAAAAACATTGCCATAAACTCAGGCTATCAAACTGTTCCTGTTTTCTATGTAAAACTTTATTTACTTACCCCTGAGCTTTAATAAACTATAATTTTAATTGTCCTATTCGGTGCATGGTTGTAGATAATGCAATATATGATTTTTTTGACATAGAAGTGTTTATGCTTTTTATTTGCCTATGATGGTCAATAGAGTTCAACTCTTCTGTAACACTGATATTAAAAAATGTCACGATATTTGCCTTCTACTATAATGCTATTAAGCTTTTTGGAAGCCTAGGTCAGTATAGTGGGCATCAGAAAATTTTGGACAGGCATCTGTCTTTTTCCCAACACTAATCTCTCCTTTCTTAATCCCCCAGCTCATGTTGCAGAGGCCAGAATGTGCTCACAGTTAGGTTGCTGTATGATGGAAACTGTAACACAAATTAATGCTGGTGGTAATGTCTGCCACCTCCTGTCATGCTGAGGTATGGGACCATTTACTAATTCCAACCAATTCAGGCTCAACTCTACTCTTGCAAGATCTTGCATTTACATGGAGCCTTTGCTCTTCTCCAGTTTTTTGCTATGAACAGAGGGAGACACCACCAACTGGAGGGGGGGG